GGCTTATTTTACCGCTGAGAAAACAGGCTCAGAGAATTTCCTGGGGTCCCGCCGTGTGATGGTGGTGGCAGAGCCATGATATCATGCCGCCCGCCCTCCCCTCCCCTCCCCTGCCCCGTGGATGCCGACAGCACAGGGGGGATGTCAGGAGTCCCTGCCACAGGCTCGCTTGCCGAGGGCCCGCTCCGTCCCTCGTGCGCTTTACTCCTGATCGTTACCCACCCCTGCATTCGGTCACTCATTCAACACACATTCACGGAGAGCTAAGCGCGTGCCAGGCACTGTTCTAGGCACTGGGGCTACATAAGGGGACAGAACACACGGAGCTTCAGGCCCTCATAGGACCATGTTCTGCAGGGTGAGTCAGAAGCTAAACAAAAAATACACAGCGTGATGGACAGTGATAGCAGTAAATGCTGTGGGAAAGAAAGAACGGGATAAAATGGTGGGTGGTGCCGGGATGCGGGGGTGGGGGGTGGCTATGCCTCCATTTAGTATATGTGCTGCCGAAGTGAGCACAATATGCCTCCATTTAAATAGGGAAGGGAGGCTCATTGATGAGGTGATGCTGAGCAACGGCTTGAAGGAGGTGATGGTGTGAGCCATGCAGAGGGACAAGCATTTGAAGCAGAGGGAACAGAATGTGCAAAGGCCCTGAGGCGGGAATCTGCGCAGAAGGTGCCTCCAGAAAGTCAGTGTGCCTGGAAAGGAGGAGCGAGCAGGAAAGGCTTTAGGGCAGATGGTTGTGAGGGCCACGTAGGCGTCTCTAAAGACTTGGGAACTTGTGTTTTGAGACAGGGGAAGTCACCGGAGTCCTGGCCGCTGTGTCAGGACTGGACATTTGGGGAGGTGAGAGGGAAAGCCTTGAGGGCCCCGTGGGGCCACTCAGATCCAACATGTGTTCAGGAAAAACTGTTTCAAGCTGTCCCTGGCTTTGGGGATCACCTTTCCCTTCACCAGCCTCTCCCACCCCTAAGGGGGAGCCTCAAGATGTTAATACCATGAATTCTGAGCATCCGGGGCCTCCTCATGGGCTTAAAACAGAAGCTGATGAGGCAGGTGTGAGTTTTAGACCTGGAAGGGAACGTGGTGATAAGAACACTTACTTAAATTAAGGCTTGACAAAGCCTTCCCAGGAGCACTGGCTCCTGGCCCTGGGTCACTGGGACTGGCCTGATGCCTCCGAGGGGCAGGACGTGGAGAGTGATGGCTTTCTCACTGTCCCCCCATGCTGTGGGCCTCTGGGCAGGCCAGCAGCCCCGGCTGAGGACAGCCCATACTGACAGCCAGGATTCTCCCTGGAGCCTTGAAGCCGAGGGTGATCCTTGGGAAGCCGCCACTGGCCTGGCCAGGCCTCGGCTGGATGGGTAGCCGGCGGTTGGGGGGGGCGGGTTGGTGGCCAGGCTACCTCACGTCAGGCCTATTCATAACCTGGGCTCTGCCTCCCAGGCGCATAGAAGAGCGGAGTCTGGCTATGAGTCACTCGGGGGGCCTCCCCAGGGTCTCCCCTCCCCTTCCCCTGCCCCTCTCCCCAGAGATCTGATCTTTTTTTTTTTTTAATTTTTTTCAACGTTTTTTAAATTAATTTTTGGGACAGAGAGAGACAGAGCATGAATGGGGGAGGGGGCAGAGAGAGAGGGAGACACAGAATCGGAAACAGGCTCCGAGCCATCAGCCCAGAGCCTAACGCGGGGCTCGAACTCACGGACCGCGAGATCGTGACCTGGCTGAAATCAGACGCTTAACCGACCGCGCCACCCAGGCGCCCCTCCAGAGATCTGATCTTGTGCCCATTCTCCACTCCATCGGTCTCTCATGTGCCTTTGCAAGCTGGAGAGGCCATGCTGTGAGGAACCTTCTTCTCAAGGCAAAGACTTGGTCGTCTGCCCTGGGACACGTTTCCGGGGTCTCCCTGTGGGCTCGTGACCTCATCAGAGCTGCAAGGTCCCTTCTTGGATCTTTGGATCTCGAGATTTCCTTTTAGCCAGGCCCCACAGGGCCCCTGGGGTCTCATCCAGGGATGTGCTGGTAAGCGTTTAACGGCCAGCTCCCGGAACAAAAGCCCTGATCTGACGCATTTGCCCATTTCTGGGGTGTAAATACCCTCATAGCCAATTTCAAGCCCCTCGGGTGACGTCACGGAACACAGAGCTGGAAAGAGGTGGCCACGGGGGGCCCCTGTGAGATGATGGGAGCCAGTTTCAGCCCAGCCCGGTCCGCCTCGCTGGCTTCCAGGACGTGCAGCATCTTGACAGACAGCTGTCTGTGTGACACGCGGGGTCACCTTGAACTCTGTGCGAACCATCTTCTTATGGACAAGTCACTGAAAGAGGCTTCCCACAGACCGACCATGAACACTCTGGCTTTCATTGGTGATGGTGGTTCTGACAGCTGGGAAGGGGGGCATCTTCCAGAGGGGACTGGGAGGGAGGGGCGGCGGGGGGGGGGGGGACACCGCTCCGAGGGCAATGCCCGGCACAGACGTGCCGAAAGTCGGAGGGAGGAGAAGACCCCCACTCCTTCACTCCTGACCACTTCCTTTAAGACCTTGGTGTACTTCCTTCCACTCTTGGCTTTCTGTGGAGCGTTTTGGGTTTTGCCCCTTTGGGAGAGTTTAGTGCGTGCAATGCTGAGCTCTGCCTTCTAATCTCTACGAGGGAACACAGACACCTTCCAGTATCACCGTGTCATGGAGCACGCGTCCCGATGGAGCCTCACACACTGCGGGTGGCCCACGGGGGACGGTGCAGCCACTTGGGAAGACAGCCTGGCCGGGGCTTAAACAGTCAAACAAAGCGTCACCCTGTAGGCTTAGCACTGCAACCCTCAGGGATCTACCCAAGAGAAATGGAAACGTAGGCGCGCGATGATTTACGTGGCTGTTCAGAGCAGCGCCATTCATCCCGACCCCATAAACGAGAGGTGATCCATGGGTACAAGAAAGCACCAGTTAGCTCACCTGCACAACAGTGCGGACGAACCTCAAAGACATTATGCAGAGCGAAAGAAGCACAAAGGACCGCATGTGCTAGGGTTCCATTTATAGAGAATGTCCAGAAAAGGCGATCAATTTAGCCATAGAGACGTAGTGGTGGCCTGGGGCTGAGGGTGCACACAGCTAGTGGCTGCAAATGGCCTTTTTCTTCTTTTTAAAGTTTACTTATTTTGAGAGAGAGACAGAGAGAGTGAACAGGGGAGGGATAGAGAGAGAGAGAGACAGAGAGAGAGAATCCCAAGCAGGCTCTGCACGGTCAGGGCAGAGCCCGGCATGGGGCTTGAACTCACGAACCGTGAGATCACGACCTGAGCCAAAACCAAGAGTCGGACACCGACTGAGCCGCCCAGGCACCCTGCAGCGGGTCTTGGAAGGGTCTTTTGGGGGTGATGGGACTGAGGCTCTGGTGGCAAAACTCTAAAACTTTTCAGAGATCATCACTGCATGTTTACAAATGGGCGAGTCTTCCGTCTAGCATAGAAATGATGCCTCAGTGAAGCGGTTTCTAAAATGCTTCCTACGTACCCTTCTCAATGGATTCATGGCATATTCCTTCAAGTCAGATGGGCTCTAGTTTACTCGACCTCCTCTAGTTCCTGGCCACACGGGCTGTGTCTCTGGGGTTGGGGACTACCAGCCCCCCAGTGATGAACTTCTCTGCTTTAGAATCACTTGCTCGAGCTTGTTATCCAGAAGGGGCCTTTGCTAGGTCAAAAGTCATGAACATTTGGCAAGCCTCTCAATCAGATGCTGAATGTACTATATCGTCTCCCCCACCAGCCCAATGAATACTTTTGGTTCCCTGTCCTTTCCTAACACGCGTGATCCAATTATGGAGCCCGCGATGCCCTCACAAAAGGAAAACACACTATTCTATGGTGTTACAAGTCAGGAGAGTGGTTGCCCTGAGGGGGGCGGCGGGGGGGGGAGAGTAACTTTAGACGGGGGTGTGAGGGAGGGTCAGGGGGCTGTAATGTTTTCCAGTACAGAGCCCAATGCGGGTCTTGATCTCACAAACGTAGGTCATGACCCGAGCCCAACTCAAGAGTCAGACACTCGACTGGCTGAGACCCCCAGGCTCGCCTTTCATTCTTTTTTTTTTTTTTTTAAGTTTATTTATTTATTTTGATTTTTTTTTTATTTGAGGGAGAGAGAGAGAGAGAGGGAGGGAGTGTGTATGAGCCGAGAGGAGGGAGCAGAGGGAACTTTAAGCAGGCTCCGCTCTCAGTGCTCAGCACAGAGCCCGACGCGGGTCTCCATCCTGCAACCCTGGGATCGTGACCTGAGCCGAAATCAAGAGTTGGGCGTTGGGCCGACTGAGCCGCTCGGGTGTCCCTGTTTTGTTTATTTTTGAATTGAGACAGGATTGACATCCAGCGAGTGAATTGTACAGCTGGGTGAATTCTTTCATACGACGCACTCGTGTGGCCCCCTCCCGGGTCAAGATACAGAACAGTTCCATCACCCCAGGAAGTTCCCTCCTGCCCCTTTCCAGCCAAAAGCTAACAGGTCCTCTGACCTTCATCACTATAGATTAGATGTGCTTGTCCTCGAACTTGTAACAAATAAAATAAGATGTTTTAATCTTCATCAGGGTGCTGGTTAAATAGGTCTATTCTTTAGGGGAGAATAGCTGCTTAGCTGTATGCTTAGGTCCTCTTCTGATATATGTTATGTCCCAATGACAAGTTAAAGTGCGGGGTTAAGGGTAAAGGATCTGGGGGGCGCTGTCCACTCCATGGCCAGAGGCCTCCATGCTGGTCGTGGTCCTTCCAGTGGGCCGTGCCCAGCCACGTGACCTTGGTTCTTGGCGTCAGCGGGGGCGGGAGCAGGGCCGTGTCCAAGAGCTAACCTGTATCTCTCTTCTCTCCACCCCTCCCTGTGTCTCCGTGTGTCAGTCTTGTGTCTGTTCACCTTATGTGTCCTGTGTGTCCATAAAGCCACATTTCGTGCTGTCTGCAGAGAGCCCCGCGTCATCTCATCTCAGCCTTGACACTGTCTCAGCATGGCCATCTCATCACGCCTCGCCCTGTGGGAGCAGAAGGAAAGTAACACTCAGGGCCCAGGCTGGATCCTCAGGGCCGACTTGACCCTTGGAGGGCAAGTCAACGTGGGTGGCCCAGGCTGCTCCCTGTGGTGTATCCAGTCCCACCTTCCATTTCCCCTGAGCCGGCTCGGTTAGCCGCGGCCCCCCTAACCCAGCCCACGAACTCCTTGAACTCCTCCCATGACTGCCGGGTCTTTTCCTGTTCCTCAGTAGGCCGCGGGGGGAATGAGGGTAGACCAGCTGTCCCGTCTGGATCGTCACGGCAGTTCTGATGAGTGCTGGGACAGAGGCAGAGCTCTTGTGCCGTGGGGATGGCTTTCTGGGGTCCCTGCCTCCTGTCACCATGGAGAACTGGAATCAGGCCCTTCTTCCGAGTTATTCATTTCCCTTTTGTTGTTTCCCACAAGATACCGCGAAGGGCTGTCTCTTTCTCTGATGCCTGCTATCTCCTTTACCCCGCATCCCACGATTCATCCCCTTTACCCCACCATCCCCCATTCATCAAATCGTGCATGATTTGATGAATTGGAAGGCTGAGGGGTGGGGTGGTCGAGAAGCTTCTCCCCGGCTGCCTCCTGGTTGCCTTTGCCCCTCCCACACTGATCTGGTTTATCGCACGAGGACGGCACCTGCTGAGCGGGCCTTAAGACTCCCCTCTCTCTCATGACATGGCTTCAGCCTCCATCGAGAGAGAGAGGCGTGGGGTCAACCAGCCCCTCAACTTCCCTGCTTCTCTCTCCCCGGACGGAGGTCTGCACCAACCTACCTTATCCCTTGGCCTCCGCTTTGTCTCCTCGTCTTTCCTACCTCCTTTGGATTCCCCGTTACTCAGCCGGGCTGGGGCGATCAGGTCCTTGCCAGCCACCCACCGAGGACCTTGATAAGGAGCTTATTTAAGCCAGGGTATAGCTCCGCCATAGAAAGTGCTATACGTTTTCACTCCCCTCCGTGAGCAGTCACGGTGATGCCGGTTAAAGATGTACACCCCGGTCGGCCAGAGCGGGTGGCCTTGCGTCAGCCCCCAAGGTCGCTGCGGTCCGCAGAGGAGTCTCCGCTGCCCCCTGACCCCAGCCGGCTCGGGTCTAGGCTCTGCTTCTGGTGTAAAATGCCAGCATCCAGCCCCTGGCTGCCCGGGTCCTGGTTTAAGGGCCATCAGGAAGCCACAGCCCTGGGTCAGTGGAGTGGGCTGTAGCCAGAGGGTTGGATTTTTACAGAAACCCCCCAGAGCCCCGCCGAACCTCATCTGCTTTGCCACGGCCGCTCACGCATGCGCTTGAGTCCTGTATGTCCTCCCTGGTGTCCCCTCCCCCGGGTTCCACTGCGAGCATCTTAAAGGGCCACTTGCTTCCACTGGTTCACTCACGGAGCTGTCTCCTTCTTTGCTTCTGCAAAACAGATTCGGGAGGAGGACAAGAGCCCTCCACCTTCCTCGCCCCCTCCCCTGTTCTCTGTCATCCCAGGAGGCTTCATTAGGCAACTCGTCCGGGAGACTGAGAAAGAGTCCAAGGAAGCAAGACTGAGGAAACAGGCAGCGCTTGGCTCTCCTGAACAAGAGGTAAGTGGTCCCACGGGAAGGGGGACGAGGTGCCTGTCGATACCCATCGTCCTGTCCTATGAGACTCCCCAGCCACTTGTCATCCTGCCTTTATTCCTGTTCTCCCCGCTTTGAGGAACGTCCTTTCTTCAGTTGATCGATGGAACTCTTACGCATCCTTCAAAACCCAGCTCAAATGGGACCTCTCTGGAACATCCCTGGAAAGCTCTCCCGTTGCCCTCCTTCCTCCGATTCCCCCAGCACCCTCTGTGTTTGTCTTCACTGTGGTCCGCATAGTTAAATACTTGATCGTGGGGCTTATCAGACCAGCAGTTCCTTAAGCGCAATAGTTCTCTCTCTCCGTCCACTCTGTATTGAGAACCTCTCGTAGAACTTGGCCCATAGCGAGTACTCAGCAAATGTTTGTTTAATGAATGAATGAAGGATATCGGCTGACGTACGATGGTGGGGATCGTTTTACCCCTCTTTTTGCAGAAAGGGAAACCTAGATGTTACCTAAGGATGTGTAGTTGGCTTACTTTAAGCGGAAAAGATATTCAGTTACTGGTTATAGGTGTACCGGTTGTTAAAATCCTGAAACCTCTCCACACCGTGTGGTAAACGGCCACGGCCCCGGCCAAGCCCCGCTCCGGTGCCCTCCAGCTTCCCCTCCCCTGAGTGCCTTGGAATGGCCACATGGCAATAATCAAAGGGTTAGTGCTTGGCCCAAGAAGGGACCTCAGTCCCTGAGTCCAGCTGACGTTCTTTCTGATTGGTTGGTGTCCACTAAATCCCTTCATTGTTCTGAATAGCTCTGCTGGATTGAAGCAGTCATTGGACACGATGCAGTCCCTGTGCTTTAAGACCTTGCAGAGTTATCCCTGATGGTGGCCAGCGCTGCCTCCTTCCTTGTCCCCAGCCGCTCAGTCAGGGACCCCGGGCAGGATGGACGAGGCTGGACACCAGGCAGGTGGGCTTGGGGTGCGCCGTGGGCGGATCGCTGTCAGGCAGACAGGCCATGGCCTCGGGTCTCTCTGGCGCCCCCTTGAGGTGGGGCGAATACCGCAGGGGTTGGGCTGAGAGATCTGGTCGCCTCCCGGCCGGGAGTTGGCTCCAGTCCAGTGACAACCTCAGCTCCACCTCCCACCCCCCTTCAGCTGTTGTTTGCCTGTCCGGTCCCCCACGTGCCCGCACCTGTCCAATTACAATGACTTTGCTGCCTCAGAGAAGTTCTCTGGCAGCTGAATGGCAGCAGCTGTTGAACACATCCCCGCCACGTCTTTGTGGGGGAGGATGCCAGGGAGGACGGGCTCGGCCCCCACCCCTGCCTGACCCAGGCATAAGCGAGGGCCAAAGTCAACCTCCGTCGGCTGCTGTTGGATCACGATGCAAGGTGACTGGAGGCCGTTCATCACTAGACAAGGTTCACTCTGCCGCTCGTGGGCTCCTTTGATCCCCGCCCTCCCCCCGCCCCGCGGCAATGGGGTGGATCAGATGATACCCACTTAGCAGAGGTGGGGACTGAAGTTCAGAGGGGTCGAGCAACTTGCTCAAGGTCACGAGACCAGATAGCGGCAGAGCGAGGGCAAGAGTCTGTGTGCTCACTGCGCTGGCGAGCTGCCTGGGAAAGGGCTAGTCTGGGGAGCAAGGTGGCCGATGTGGCCACAGAGGCCTGGGAAGGAAAATGTTCCATGAGGCCGCAGGCCGTGCTGGCATCACCGCGCACAAGTTAAGAAGCAGAGCCGAGCATAGGATGGGGACAAACTGTCGCCCCAGGGCCTAGGCAGAGCCTCAGAGCCAAGATGCAGGATGGACAGGCCTCAGAGCACAACAGGTGTCTGGACCTTGGGCCAAGATGTTCCTGGGGCTGGGGCACGGCAGCCCCGGGACATGTTTCTGCGACACAGCAAGCCCTGGCTGGTTCTTGCCAATTTGATTTTCTTGTCCCGATCGGTAAATAACCAGACTCTTTCTCCTTACCCCAGCACAACTGCTTTATTTGGCCCCCATCTAATCCTTTCACGGAGCCGTTAGACTCCGCCACCAGTTTGCAGGGATGTAAAACGAAGCTCAGAGAGGCGGCTTGGATTTCCAAAGGCCCCCGAGCCAGTGAGAGACAGGAAGAGGCTGGAATCACACGGGGCAGAAAGAGACCCACGTCAAGTGTCGGGAGAGCTGGGTTCTCGCTCTGGCCCCACCCCTCTGTGTGGTCCAGGCCAAAGCCCTTCCCCTCTTTTGGCCTCAGCTTGCCCATCTGTAAAATGGATGCGCTGTGAGTTTCCTCTTGGCCCCCGTGATTCTACAGGCACCTCCTCCCCGTATACTGAGAAGGCTTCAGAGCGGACTGAGGGCTTTGGTGACTGAGAAAATCCAAAGGATTTGGGTGAGGGAGGGTAGGGCCGGTTACCTCGTTTGGCTCAAATTCATGTCACTGTTTCTGCTATGGTGGTTTGGTTGGAAAATAAGGCACTGACTCACTTTTTAAAATGGTATAGACAGTGGAGAGATGTGCTAAGTGCAGCCAATCCTCTTTCCAAGGCTGTGTCCTGCCTGGCCCCGAGAAGGTCAGACTGAGCCACTAGGCCATGGGCACCAGAGCAGGTTTTCTCAGTCCTAGCTACACACTGGAATCACTGGGGCAGCCACAGCCCAGGCCAACTCCATCTGACTGTCTGCGATTGGGGTCAAAGCATCGTTCTTCTTCTTCTTCTTCTTCTTCTTCTTCTTCTTCTTCTTCTTCAGATAGACAGAACATGAGGAGTGGGAGAAGGAGACAGAGGGAGAGAGAAAAAATCACAAGCAGAGAGAATCTCAGTGCAGAGCCTGACTCCACAACCCTGGGGGTCATGATGTGAGCTGAAATTGAGAGTCAGATGCTCAACTGACTAAGCCACCTAGGCACCCCAGAATCACTGTTTTCCTAAAGCTCCCAGGAGATTCTAGGGGCGCCTGGGTGGCTCAGTCGGTGAAACGTCTGACTTTGGCTCAGGTCATGATCTCAAGGATTGTGGAGCCCCGCATCGGGCTCTGTGCTGACAGCTCAGAGCCTGGACCCTGCTCTGGATTCTGTGTCTCCTTCTCTCTCTGCCCCTCCCCTGCTTGCACTCTGTCTCTCCCCGCCTCTCAAAAATAAATAAATGTAAAAAAAAAAAAAAGAAGAAAAAGAAAAAAGCTCCCAGGAGATTCTAGTGAGTCCTGGGGACAAGTAAGGCTGTGACTATGCTTCAGTTAAGGGCACTGACTTTAGACTCCCAGAGGCCTGTATGACTTTCCATTCCAGCTTTGTCTCTCGGGCCACCTGATAGCCTTGTGTTCACTTCTTTATCCGTAGAATGGGGGCAGAGTTCAGAACCTACTTCGGTGGGTTCTTACGAGGGTTAAGTAGGGTGTGATGGTCCTGTAGGACCCACTGCAAAGTGATCTGTGCATGATGGTTGTTATTATTACCATCAACATCATCATCGTGACAAAGCCATGGAGACCGTGCCCTTGAGGCCTCCACCACCTGAAACAGGGCAGAGACACAAGTCAAAGCCAGACTGGGGTGCAGAATGTGGTCGTTGCTGCTGACGGTGCACCTGCACGGTGCCCTGGGACCTCAGGGGTGCGTGAGACAGGTTCTGAGCGAGGCCTGCAGGCACAGATTTGCAAAGGGGTGGTATTTGAACTGGGTATAGAAAGATGAGTACAGCATCGGCAAGTGAAGAGGGGGAAAGAACATTCCGGGCAGCGAGCTGATGTGAACAGAAGCATGGAAGCAGAGAAGCATCAGATGTGTTAAGAGATGCCCCTGCGTGGCTCAGGCATGGGGACACACAGGGACTATAAGGCCAGAATGGAGGGTGGTGACTCCTCATTGAGGGCTTTGAATGCCAGGTGATGGCAGGGAATGACTTTCCCATAGTCTGGGGGCCACTGCCAAAATCTTTTGATCAGGTTTCAAATGACTGTGGCAGCAGATTCAAAGGCCACCAGTTCGGGGACTGTGACCGTGGCCCAGATGAACGCAGACCCGGGCTTGGGAAGGGAGACAAAAGTGTGACGCCGGGCAGGTGGAATCGACATGATCTGGGGGCTGGTTTGGGTGCAAGAGGAGGGTGAGAAACTGAGTCCTGGGCCCAGGTGTGTGGGGAGGAAGCCAACATGGTCCCAGACGCAGAACCCAGACCTGGGCAGGCGGTGAAGCCAGGCATCAAGATGGACCTCCCGCCTACACCCTCCAGCTCTCTTTCTGTAGAGGCAGCGGCTCAGGTGGCCCTGTGAGCAGTTCAGGCCACAGCCAGGCTGGTTTGAGGACAAAACTCGGGGTGGGGCTGACGCCACAAGGCAGCAGAAGAGCCTGGGAGAGGAGCCTGCAGGGGGCGTCAGAGATCAGATGTCCAGGCCAGGCGAGGGGGTGGGGTGGGGGGTAGGTGGGCTGGGAGGACTTCGGCCGGGAGTAGGGATGGGGGAGGACCGCCGAGGGGGGCAGGGTCCGGGGAGGACCATGGGGGACATGCCAGGGCTCTCACCTGGCATGGGGAGTGCATCCGGACGGCAAAAGTCGCAACAACTCCGTTCAGCTCTCTGCCACTTCCAAAGCGCTTTTCCACATCTCACTCCACCAAAACTCTGGATGGACCCTGGCCTTGCATGGAGGGAAAACCGAGGCTCAGAGAGGTTAGGTGGTGTCGTTCACCGTCACCCAGCTGGAAAGCGTCCCAGCCAAGACTAGAACGGGTCCTCTGCTCTAGTCCCCAAGCCCCCTTCCCTCTCCTTGGCCCAGCAGGAAGACTCAAGGCAGAAATAATAGTAATAATAGCAGCGACACAGCAAAAGTACCAATGACAGGAGAGGGAGCTACTGTTACCAAGGACGAATTCTGCACTTGGCTCAGTTTCTGTGCATTATCACGAACCCTAACGCTCGCCCTGTGACGTAGGCCATTATGAAACTCATTTTATTGTTGTTTTTTTTAAAACATTTTTCTAACGTTTATTTATTTTTGAGACAGAGAGAGACAAAGCTTGAACGGGGGAGGGTCAGAGAGAGAGGGAGACACAGAATCTGAAACAGGCTCCAGGCTCCGAGCTGTCAGCACAGAGCCCAACGCGGGGCTCGAACTCACAGACCGCGAGATCATGACCTGAGCCGAAGTCGGACACTTAACCGACTGAGCCACCCAGGCGCCCCGAAACTCATTTTATTGTTAAGGAAATAGGCTCAGAGAGGGGAAGCCATTTACCCAAGGCCACACAGCTGGCGAATGGCAGAGTGAGAAGCTGAACTTGGGTCTGTCGGGCTCCAAAGTCGACTCTCTTTCCGCTCCTTCGCTTGGTTTTGAAGTGCTGGGCCAAGGTCCAGGGTGTTGGGGTTCAGTTCACTGCCTGGCACAGGGCCTGTCCAGTCCTGTGTCCCGTCGGTGCCTGGGGGTCTCTGGATGGGTGAATGGCTGGGTGCATGAGTGAGTGAGTGAGTGAGTGAGTGAGTGACTGAGTGACAAGGCTGTCTGGTCAGCGAGCAGCTAAGTGTGGCTGTGGCCTCTCTCCTAGACCCCAGAAACTTCTGCTGGCCAACCCAAGGGCAAGTCCAACAGTGGCACCAAATCTGGAAACCAGCAAATCCCCCAAGGCAGCCAGTCAGGCTCTCCGCAGAACTCGAACATTCCAGGCAAGGAGAGCCAGGGGGCCGGCCCCACAGACCCCGTGCTGATGACCAGCATCAATGGTGAGAAGCCCCAGGAGCCGGGCCCCAGTGGGACCCCAGCCAGAAAACCCCTGCCCTTCAAGAGAGGTGTGAGGAGGGGTGACGTGCTGCTGATGGTGGCCAAGCTGGACCCGGACTCAGCCAAGCCGGAGCAGAGGACCCAGCCCCATGACGCCCCCACCTGTAAGACCCCACCCCCAGCCACAGACCCTGGAGGGGAACAGAAGGGGGGGACTCCAGGGACTCATGGCACTAAGGACACAGCCCCGAAGGCTGAGAAGACCCAGACCGAGGGCGTTGTGGACCCAGGAACGCAAGGCGTGGTGGGGAAAGGGGGCAGGGACCCCCAGACCAAAGGGCTGAAAGGGGGTGAACTCCAGGGCAGAGAGGGGCCAGGCGAAGGGGGACGGTCAGCTACAGCAGAGAAGGGGGCAGGGGACCCCCCAAACAAGATGGCAAAGGGGAACCTCTCCAAGGATTCGGGGGGCAACGGCAAGCCCGCTGGGGCCCAGATCCAGGTGAGAAAGTGGGGAGTCTCCCTGGGCAGCAGGAGCAAATGGGATGGTCCCCGGAGTAAGAAGGATAAAGAAGGTTCGCTGCTGAGTAAGGCAGAGAAGACAGAGGAGCCTCAGGTCAAGGCAGAGAAGATGAGCAAGGTTCAGGGGAAGCCCGGGAAGGTGGGGGGAACTCCCGGAGGGGTGGAGAAAGCAGGCCAGCCTCTGAGAAGGACAGAGAAGGCAGGGGAGCCCCAGACCAAGGTAGGAGAGGAAGGGCGGCCTCAGAGTGAGCCCGGGGAGGCAGGTAGAGCCGGGGGGGAGAGAGAGAAGGGCTGTGAAACCCCCAAGGAGGTGGGTGCATGCAGGGAGAACCCAGCGGCGGCTGGGAAGGAGGGCCGGCCAGAGAGCAGAGGACAGAATGCCCGGGAGCCCCGTGCGGGAGCGGATGACGCGACAGAGACCCTGGAGATGGAGCTGGAAAGGGCCGGACCACCTGCTCTGGAGGGCCATGCAGACAGTCCTCAGGATCGGAAGGAGGGTGAAGAGGGGCCGGCCCTGCCGGAGGGGAGCAAAGGAGGACAGAGCAGAGACTTGGATCAGGTGAGGGGGGTCCAGCCCCTGGAGTGGGGGAGGGGCAGGAGGGAGCCTTCCGAGGTGGGGGGGAAGGGCAAGAGTTGCTCCTGGGGGCATCCTCCTTGATGTGTAGGGATCTTGGGGCCCCCACTGCACCAATCCCGGGGTAAGAGTCTCCACGGCATGACGGAGGTCCCAAGACGGAGATGTCCTGTCATGGCTGAGCTTACTCACAGAGTTCTCAAACTCGGGGCTGCGTAAATAGCAGATTGCTCAGAATGCAGATTCCCGGGCCCCGTCTTAGTGGTTCCGCTCCAGGGGCCGGGGGTGGGGCCGAGGCATCTGCCTGTAAATAATCACCACCCCGCTTGCCCTCCCTTGGGGGAGATTCTGACTTCAGTGGGCCCAGATCACACTGTGAGAAACTCCCATGTGAAGGGTTCACTCCGGACAAGGGGGTGGGGTGGGGGTGGTGGGGGCGGAGGGAGGGCAGCGTCCCCTTGGTCACCTGATTCATGTGATCTTTGCTCTCAGGCTCCTGAGGACAGATGGTACGAGGCAGAGAAAGTGTGGCTGGTTCAGAAGGATGGATTTACTCTTGGTAATTAGGGGTGTTAGCCCATCTGGGGGGGTCTAAGTCTTTTCTTCCTGCACCCCCTCTGTTGCTGGCCGTATTTGCCAGATCAGAGTCTGGGGGGAAGGGTGAGGGGCATGCTGCGTCCATGGGGCACTTGGGTGGCTCATTTGGTTAAACGTCCGACTTTGGCTCAAATCACGATCTCACGGTGCATGGGTTCGAGCCCCACGTTGGACTCTGTTCTGACAGCTCAGCTTCGGATTCTGGGTCTCTCTCTCTCTCTCTTTCTCTTGGGGCTGTCATCAGCAACTGTCCTGAAGCCGGATGAGGGAACAGCCGACCTGCCGGCAGGAAGGGTGCGAGTTTGCATCGATGCTGACAAAACCGTGACGGAGGTGGACGAGGAGTGTGTTCATAGGGTGAGCCCTCCGTCTCTCTCCCCGCCTGCCCCGCACCGTCTTTCCCCACCCCTGCAAGAGATTTCCTTGCACTTGACTGCACAGGCTGCTTTGGCTTGATGCCCTGGAGGGAGTTGTAAGGAAGGCCATCTTGGAACTCACCGCTCTGCTGGAGGAGTATCGTCAGGAGGTCATTTCTCTCTCTCGGGGTTCTCTTGACACAGGCACATTCACAAACATGTTTGTCGTTCTGCCTGATCCAGGAACATGACCGCTTTTCATTTTACGGACATTGCAGATCATGCCACAGGGCGGGTTTTCCTTTTCACCCTGGCTGCCAGGGAATTCAGAGCCAAATTTGCAGCTTGTCATCAACTGTAGCCGAGGTTTCGATGGACTATTGTTTGGGGTTTTATTGCGGTGGGCTCGTGTCCTTGACAAAAAGGCTGACCCACAAGGGAGCTCAGGCTTGGCCCAAACCCCAGAGCAGTAGGCCCTAAAAACTCCTTGAGGCTGGAAAGAATGGTAGGAAGGCTTTTAGAAGGGACGTCCCAAGGAGAAGCTGCAATCATTCCTTGCTTCTGGAAGAGTTTGGGCATGTTTCCAAGGGATCAGTGCACGATGGGCTGTCAGAGAAATGGGGCTGTTTGGCCATTGGCCTTCACCCCCGAGGGTCACAGAACACATGCGGAGCTCCCTGGCAAGATTCAGAGAGGAGGCAACAGCTACTCTTGAACACCATCCTTCTCATAGTGTTTGAGAAGGCTCTCTGAATCTTGCTGTGTCCGTCTCAGGAATCTGTCCCCTCCTGGGGCAGTGAGTTCAGGAGGCAGGACCAGTGTGAAGAGACAGGTGGCAGGGGCGCCTGGGTGGCTCAGTCAGTCAAGCGTCCGACTCTTGGTTTCGGCTCAGGTCATGATCTCACGGTTCATGAGATCGAGCCCTGCGTCGGGCTCTGTGCTGACGTCATGGAGCCTGCTTGGGATTCTCTCCCTCCCTCTCTTTCTGCTCCTCCCCTCTTCTCTCTCTCTCCAAATAAATTAACTAAAGAGAGAGAGAGAGAGACAGGTGGCTCTCAGACTATGCAAAGGGCAAACGAGTTTTATACGGATTTGTTTCTCTCTCTCCAGAGTCTTTGTGTTCTGTCCTGGTCTGTGGCAAATAGCTCTCCCAGAAGAGGTCACCGGGGCTGTGTGTGTGTGTGTGTGTGTGTGTGTGTGTGTGTGTGCACGTACGGGTGGTGGTGCTGGTATGGAGGCCCAGGAGGCCAGAGGACACTTTGTGTGATGCTTCACAGGCCAACCCCCCCGAGCTGGACCAGGCTGAGGACCTGGCCTCCCTGGTCAGTGTCAACGAATCAAGTGTCCTGAACACGCTTCTGCACCGCTACCGGGCTCAGCTGCCCCACACCTTCACCGGGCCGGACCTGATCGCCCTCCAGCCCCGGAGGCCCCCGGCGCCCTCTGCAGGCAAGGTGAGGGGGACCATGGGAACATGTGCTCGCCGTGGCGGGGGGGCGTCCCCTGTGCCTCTCAGGGGAGAGCAGGGCAGCCAAAGCCCCCTGCAAACCTGTCTGTGAGTAGCATCCTGCCAGATAAAAAGGTCTGGGGTATTGTGGGCATCGCGGGGGCATTGAGGACCACGTGATTCCCCCCTCCATCGAGGGGGACCTTGAGTCATGGATAGAAATAACAGGGGCGTTACACACAATAGTAACGACAAGATATTGAGCAAATATCATTTCTGCACCAGCCACTGCTTCCAGCACCTTACATATCATCTCAACTAATGCTCACACCCACCTGGAAAGATCGGGCCCTCTCCTAGCCCCGTTTTACAGATGAGATGTTCTGGGTCAGCCCTTGTGTTCAGCAAGGGGGACAGCGGGGGTAAAACCCAGGCCACCAGCCTTTCTGTGCTCTGAACCCCATACTGCCTACTCAAGAGTCCCAGACACCCACATACCTCGGGAAACAGAAGCCTCCCTTCTGTTGTTTGTTTAATTTTTTTTCCCTGCCAAGCGTGGAAATGGCCAGTTTTTGGCAAGACAGTCAAAGCAAAGGAGATCTCTCAGCGCCACCTGGTGGCGGGGCCTGCAGCCACGACTGAGCCGTTTGAGCCGGATTCTCTCTTTGATCCCATTCATTGGTCCCATTGATTGAGATACTGACAAGAGGGTCTCCTCTATGCCCCGCATGGAGGAAAGAGCAGGGAGGAAGACCGATAAGCCTGCCCCGGTGGGTGTTCCGTTCTCGAGGGGGAAGACAGGCCCCCAGTAATAAAGATAACAGTGGGGAGAGCAGCTGGTGTGGAGGAGGAGACAGTGAGGAGGCCAGGACAAGTGGGGTCTGGGTCGCAGCAGGTCTTCTACGTGGTCATGATGTTCCCGGCTGTTGCTCCGAGCATGATGCCAGCTTCGGGGGATCTTTGGCAGAGGGGTGAGATGGTCTGACGTGTGCTGGAAAGGGCTCCCCTGGGCTCCTGGGTGGATAGGGGAAAGTGGGCAAAAGAGGAGGCAGGGAGGCCTGACGGAGGTGCTGCTGGGAGGACTGGGGAAGTCGCAGGCCTTTGGAGCCGCTGCCAATGCCCCTCGAGTGCCTTGGAAAGACCACGACACCTCTCTGGCCTCAGCGTTCTCATCCGCCAATTGGGGATGAAAAGCTGCATCTCGCCCTCTGGAGTACCATGGGGCAAACCCATCCGTAGCCCCCAAATGAGGCTAAGGTCCATTTAGAAAGGGACAGTGGCTCTGAGTCTGCCTCTAAAGCTTCTCTTCTCCAGGACGCCCCCCTCCCCCGTTGCTTCCTGCCCGACCTGGCTGTCCATAAGGGCACCTGCACTCGCCCCTCCCTTGCTGTGAGAGCTACGTTTGGGCTACTGCAGCCCAAGGCCGCTGAGCCTTCCAAGATGCCGGGTCACTGTCTTGCTCCTTCAAAGCCCCCGGGGAGGGAGATTTAGCACAGACTCCCACGGTAAGGCTGGCTTCTCACCGGCCATCCTGGATCGAGGCATCCGTTGCAGAGCCTGGGATGTCCAGGAGCTGGAATACGCCCTGTAACAAAGAATTTGAGTGAGGTGATCCCCCAAGCCCCCTGTAACCCCTCAAAGCATCCAGCTTCCCACACTCAAACCCGAAACCACCTTCTATACGCTTTGGCTGAGTCACGTCTGGCTCCTCAAATGGCCACCAGGTGGGAGCATAGACCTGCGATGGCATCTTGAAGCCGGACTTGGTGGGACCTGGGGCTGGGCTGGGGGCCTCTCTCACTGGGAGTCTGGCCCACCTGGCGGCGGCTGGGAGCTGGGTGTTTGCCAGGGGGTGCAGGTCTGCGTGGCTGTGAGCACGGGTGTGAATGTGTGGGGTACAGACGGGTACAGCTCTGAGTCGCTGGGGCCTCTGCGATTCTTGCGTGCGTGCCCGTGAGCATGCGTGTGTGCATACAAGCAAGGCACGTGTGCACGCATGCACCTGTATGTGTGCGCAGGGGCCTGGGTTTGAAGGATTCCCCTTTTCCCTTCCGTCCCGCTGGGGAGATTGACAGATGGGACGGCCTGTCCCCTGGACCTCAGTGTTACCAGAGTGGGAGGTGGCTCCAGGGCTCAGACCCCAGGACCCTCTGCCTCTGCTGCATGCCCTAAGGCTGTGTCCAGCCAGCGTGGGGGCTGGTCCCACTTTGGCCAGCTTTGGGGTCCTCCCGAGCCCTGGAACCTTGTGTTTTGTGTCAGGACAGGGATTCATTATTGTTGCGGGACGTCTTGGGCAGGAAAGGCGGCCCTGAGCCCCAGGCGGGAGGTGCAGGCTGGGGGTAAAGCCGCCATTCTGAGGTTTGTGCCCCTGGCCCTGCTAAGGCACGGAAGAGGGCAGGTGGGGCCTTTCTGGGCCCAGTCGTCGCCTGCTTATCATTCCAGGACATTTGGATGTCCTCGTCCGGCCGGGCCGGCTGCCCTGCCCACCTTGGTGCCCCTCCACTGACCACTCTGTCTCCAGGTGCCCTCCTCCCTTCTACCCCAAGGCCACGCTAAGCAGACTTTCGTCAAGGTCACCGGTGGTTTCCATGCTGCCAAACTCATTTGCCAAATGTTCAAGTCTCTGATTTCCCCTGACTTGACCCTCAGTATAGCGTTTGGTGTGGCCAAGCTCCTCCTGCAAATGCTCCCAGGACTCCCTGTCCTGCTTTTCCGTCTGTCCCACTGGCCTCTCCTCCTCAGCCTCCTTTGCGGGTCTCCCTGACCTCTCCAAGGCGGTTGCCCTGCCCCCCCATACCTCTTCCCTCCTCTTTAAATACCCCCTTCCTTGGTGATCTCATTCAGGCTTTAAAATGTCTCCGGATAGTTTCATTCTTTCGTTTGTTTCTCATCAGTCTCTTCGCAACAGAAAGCAGGCTCGACTCCGTAGGCAGGGCTGTTTTAAGGCAGTTATTCAGGTATGATTTGCAGTCGGTTCGATTCACCCCTTTTAGCGGACAGTCCTGTAAGTTTCTGACAAACGCGTACCGTTATGCAACACCCTCCACCGTCAATTACAGGACTGTTCCCATGCCATTGCCCCCTAGAAGTTCTCTGGAACCTTGGTTGTCACCCCGCCCGCCTCCCGGGTCCTGCCCTTGGCAGCCACTGATCTGTTCTTTTTATCCCTATACTTTGGCCTTTTCTGAAAAAGTCACGTAATTGGAATCATACGGCAGGTAACCTTTGAATCAGCTTCTTCCCCTTGCCACGATGCATTCGTTCGACATTCACCCCTATTACAGCAGCGATTGGCCATTTATTGTATGCGGCGTGCCCTGATTTATCCATTCAATAGGGTGACCAGTTGTCCCAGTTTTCCCAGTTAGAGGGGTTTCCTGGGATATGGGACCTTCAGTGCTAAAACCATGGTGTTTGGTTACCTTCGTTCACTAGTTACAAGGCATTTGGGTTGTTTCTAGTTTTCGATGACTTTGAATATATATTTAATAGGACCAGTGACATTGAAGGTTGTTTTTTTTGTGTGTGTGTGTGGACATAACGGCTCATTTCTCCTGGGTAAATACCTAAGAATGGGATTGCCAGGTTGTATGATGAATGTACCTCTCACTGTTTCCCAGAGCGACTGTGTCATTTGTCCTTCTTACCAGCATTGCATGGGCATTCCAGTCACTCTGTGCCTTCACCACACCTTGGTAGTGAGTGTTACAAAAATTTTAAATCTGTTTTTAGCCATCTAATATGTATACAATGGTATCTCCTCATGGTTGGTAGGGATTTGCTTTATCCGTTTTGTGTAGCGCTGTGCCCACAATAATATTTTTGTGTATTGAATGAAGAATAAATGAATGGATGAATGGAGTGGAAGGCCTCAGGTATTACCTAAAACTGTCATGGCCAATGCATGGCATATGTACCACCATCTACCCTGTGCTTCGTTCTGTTTCCATGGCAGACATCACTAATCAATCTTGCCAGTCTATCCAGCTGCCTCATTCCAGGCAAGTACTATCCAATAATGAACTAACACAAGCCTCCTAGGGGTTAAAGAGGAGACCCAGGTTCAGAGTAGACTCAGAGGTTGTCCAAGGGCTCACGGTGAGCCAGGGGCAGGAGTAGACCCCAAGGCTGGGCTTTTCCCAGTAAAATTCGACTTGTCTGATAAGGTTGGGGTAGGATGACAGGCAGGGGTGGGCTGGGCTCGAGGCTGGGGTGGGACACCGCCTTGGGGTGCTCCCTGGGCACCGGCTGGGGTGGGAAGACCGATGTCGAGGATCGTCTTCCTGCAGGTGCCCAGGCGCCGCCGGGATGGCCTGCCAGCTCACGTTGGCTCCCTGGCCCAGCGGGCATACTGGGCGCTGCTGAGCCAGCGGAGGGACCAGAGCATCGTGGCTCTGGGGCGCAGCGGTGCTGGGAAGACCACCTGTTGCGAGCAGGTCCTGGAGCACCTGGTGGCGATGGCAGGCAGTGTGGATGGCAGGGTCTCAGGTACAGTGGTCTCCAGGTGGCATGTGTTGGGGGCGGGCTGTGGGGGAGGGTGGGGAGAGTTGGAGGGGACGCTGGGTTGCTCCTCCTTGTACCCGTTCAGCTAGCAGTCACTGAGCACCCATGTGCAGACTCTGTGCTTGCTTCTTTCTAGGCAGGGCCACCCATAGTTCATTGCATGCCTCTGTGCAAGTTAGAAAAAGGTACTCCTTCCTCAAGACATCCACAGCTGCCTGCAGAGCAATCATCATGCACTGACATTGTCAGAACCATACCCTTGACCGCCATGTTCTGGGAAATCGTCCTGACAGATATACAAACCCGTACTTGTATGATGTAAACAGCGTGTCCCTTCGACATGGTGTCCTTGTGCGGTGCACAACCTGCTGCGCTGTACAGAGGACCCCGTAGGTAAAGACAGAAGGGCAGGGCCTATGCTCACGAGGAGTCGACAGCCAGAAGGGAAACCGAACTTCACATATGTGCCAAACTCCAGTGCTCTGCACAAAGGGCTGGCAGAGCTGGTTAGGAGAGAGTCACGGGGAGCTCGGAGGAGAGGAGTTCGGGGGCTTCCTCGAAGACGTGATGTCTGCCTGGGTGGCTCAGTCGGTTAAACGTCCGACTCTTGATTTCAGCTCAGGTCATGATCTCGCCACTCATGAGTTCAAGCCCTGCCTCGGGCTCCGTCCATGCTTATGGAGCAGAGCAGGCTTGGGGTTCTCTCCCTTCCTCTTTCTCCCTGCCCCTCTCCTGCTCTTCCCCACCGCCCTCAAGATAAATAAATAAGACTTAAAAAACTTAAAAAAAAAAAGGAAACGATATTTGAACTAGGCTTTAGAAAGCGCCAATTAATAATAATAATAATAACCATAGTAAACATTTGCTGAGGACTTACATGCTGAGCCCTATTCCAAGCATATTAACTCATTTATTATTTAAAACAGTTCTATAAGGTAGATATTATTATTCAAACGTTATAGATGAGGACATTAAGACTCAGGTTAACTCGCTTGCCCTGGGCCACACAACTAAAACATCCTAGAGCTGAGAGTCCAACCCAGACAGTCTGGCTTTGGAGCTATAACCCCTGGGCCCGTGTTCTTAATGCTTCTTTCACTTTTGCACCCCTAAGGAGCTTTCTCAGACACCCCCCACCCCCCAATCATCCCCCACCGTCAAATTTTACTGCCATAGATATACCATGATCTCTTCATGCAGTTTATGCACATCTGTGCTTTATACATAAGAAAACAAAATCCCCCCCTACCCACAAGAATCCGCTTTTGCCCTCTTGGGGGCAATACATAGCCTAGGCTATGAGAGGTTAACTGATTTGCCCCAAATGAGCTAACTAGCAAAGGCAGAGCCCATGTTCAAATTCCTTTAACCACCGTGTGTGCTGCTGCTTTGCTGGGGTTATTCTAGAGCTTTATTGATCACCTACTCTCCACCTAACCCCCGGGAGGGCCTGGGGATACAGAGGGGAGAGGCACCAGTCTTGGCTCTCCCCAAATGTAGCTCTGCCGTGACTGCGTGTATTTGAGGGTGGGAGTCAGGAAAGGCTGTATTCAGCACCTAGCACAGTGCCTGGCGCATAGTAGGTGCCTAAGAAATAACTGTGGCGAGACTGCAGGGCTTTTCAAGGCTGTGGCTACTCTGTGAGCTCCCTCAGAGCAGGTCTGAGAATGTTAAGGCCCTGCCTTCCTTCATCAGGCCCTGGAGGCCCCTGTCACTGGACTGTAGCTATCCTGACCCTGTGTCTCGACTCAGTCTTCTTCCCCCTGCAGTCTGCTTGCGGTACACAGCCAGGGCAGCAGTGAAATGTGTGTGGTCTAGTGCTGAGTTGGGGGTGGGGGTGGCAGGGAGCCTGCTGGGGGTGTTGGGAACAGATGGGCTTGGACCAGTGCAGGTGCCAGTGGGGAAGGTGGTCCTGTGAGAGGTGGGGGTGGCAGCTCCAGGGCCATGGGTGACTCGCTGCCCCGTGCCCCCCAACAGTGGAGAAGATCCAAGCTACCTTCACCGTCCTCCGGGCTTTTGGCTCTGTGCCCACCAGCCATAGCTGCAATGCCACCCGGTTTGCCATGGTGATGTCGCTCGATTTCAATGCCACGGGGAAAGTCACAGCCGCTCAGCTCCAGGTGAGTGCTCTGGGAGGACGTGCTGCAGCATCCCCAGGCCCACTCAGCAGAGGCCACATATCCCCCCGGGACCCTGGAACGTGTCTAAGTGGTTGTGGCTCCCCCGACGGTGGCCACCTCCTCCCCGACGCACTCAGCGCCCCGGACCATCGCCAGCCTGTCTGCGCCTCGGAATGTCACGGGGATGAACTATTCATGAGTAAATACATACCTCAGCCGCTCATTAGCTGGGTGTTAAAAGCATAAGCTGAAATCAAACAGACGCTCGCCGGCCTTCCGCGAACGTCCGCGTGTAACCAACACATGGCTTGTTTGTTCCTATCTCCACAATCCCCCATGCCGATTCCCTGAACCTCAAACAGGCTGTTTAGGCAGAAAATAGGATTAGGTTGTTAGAAGGGTTGTTTGTACATCGCGCCGGGATGACGTCCAGGCTCCAGGAAAACTCCTCGGTGCCCAGAAGTCCCTCTTCTGTCCCGGCCCTGCAATTCGACCATCAGTCACCACTTGGGGCAGCTTAGTAAGCTTCTGTTAAATAAGAGTATGTTGGAGAGTGGCTCTGGTTGATTGTGATTCCCTTCGGATGCTTTCATCGGAATGGGTCTGTCGTGTCAGTTGAGTCCCTGGATGGGCTCTGGATCAGCGAGATGAATGAGCAGTTTCGATGCGGACGTGTCTGGCAGAGCGTGGACGTGAGCCGTGGCCCCAAAGAGCGCATCGGGGCGGGGGACACCCCAACAGGCCCTCTGGGTAGCTGGCCACCCGGCTGACCGTGTCCCGTCCACTCCCATTGCAGACGATGCTCTTGGAGAAGAGCCACGTGGCCCGACAGCCAGAAGGGGAAGGCAACTTTGAGGTTTTCTCCCAGATGCTAGCTGGGTTAGACCTGGATCTCAGGTGAGTGACGGAGACCTCAGCAGATGGCAAGGACTCATTCAGACCGACTGTTCTAATATTACCCAGGAGCGAGTTCACACAGCCGATTAGCAGAAAACCTGGAGGCAGACCCACTCCCCTGGGTTTAGTTTGTGATTCTTTGTGCCAGAAAACACTTAGGAAAGATCCACGGGTGGGCAGTGAGTGAGGGATATTCCAGAAACGGGCCTGGGGCCGGCAATGGGACCGTCCGGGCCACGGGGTGGAGCCCTGTGTCACGATGTCCCCTCGCTCTGCCAGGTCGCTGATGTGGGCGGTCCTTCCCTTACTTCTGTCCCTTCTCTGCTTCCAGGACAGAGCTATACCTACACCAGACGGCAGACAGCAGCTCCTTCGGCATGGGCGTGTGGCCTAAGGTAAGGAGAAGGTCCTTCTGGGGTGTGTGTGGATGTGACCAGGGGATGCGAGGGTGATGCAGGGTTCCCTGTGCAACTCTTCTCCTTTACCAGTGGGGTTGCTGGCTGGCAAGGACTGGCCATGGGTGCGGGCCTGGGCTTGTAGGGTGTCTGAGACTCGCACACATAAAGGGAAGCAGGAGGTGGGACGCAGAGAGGTAAGAGTGTGGGCTCTTGCCTCAAATCCTGGCCCTGATATTTACTAGACACGTGATCCCAGGCCGTATTATTGGTGATTCACGTGGGTAGGTGCGGTCAGGGGTGGCTTTCCCGGAAGACGTGGTCTGTGAGCAGACTTTGAGAGATGGAGTCCACCTAAAAAAGGCCAGGTGTTTGCTTGTTTGTTTACTCTTTTATTCTTTTGTTTACACCTCAACAATTGTTTTCTGAGTCACTCCCCACCCCACTACACCCACCGCCAGCTCCCGTGCTAGGCCTGCGTTAAGTGCTGGGTTTATGGCCTCCATCCGTGGGGTTTTACTCCATCAGGAGAGACGATATGGGCATTAACGCAGTCATGTGGGATATAAATGTGGCAGGGGTTGCACAAGATGCCGTGGGCACAAAGGACCGTTGAAAGAGCTACTTGGTCTCAGACAGAGAAGGCTTCCTAGCTAGGGTGACATTTGACTGGGTTTGGAGGAATGAATAGGAGTTCACCATGTAAGGGAGGGTCGATGATTTCCACACCCAAGCCTTTCAACAAACGTATGATCCGGGAAAGAAAGGGTGCTGGAATTATGGCGTATCTTCAGGTCCAGAATGAATTGCAATCGACAACCTCACACCAGACAGAAATTAACAAAGAATGGAGTATAGGCCCAAATGTAAAACCTAAAACCATGAAATTTCTACAAGAAAACAAGGGGAAAATTTCTCCAACTTTGTTTTAGGTGAAGGTTTTTCAGATGTGACACCAAATGCACAGGTTATAAGAGGACAAATAGATAAATTGTATTTCATCACAATTAAAAACTTCTGCTTTTTTTTTTTAAAAAAAAAGGTTTATTTATTTATTTTGAGAGAGAGAGAGAGAGAGAGTGTGAGCAGGGGAGGGGCAGAGACAGAAGGAGAGAGAATCCCAAGCAGGCTCCTTACTGTCAGCGTAGAGCCCGATGTGGGGCTTGAACCCAGGAACCGTGAGATCATGACCTGAGCCAAAATCAAGATTTGGACGCTTAATCGACTGAGCCTCCCAGGCGCCCCAAGAACTTCCGCTCTTTGAAAGACACCATTAATATGAAAATACAAGCCACAGACTAGGGAAAAAATATTTTCAAATCACCTATCTGATGAAGTTTTGAATCCAGACTATATAGACGACTCTCTAAACTCATAAATGCAACCTGACAAAGAAGGCGGGCAAAAGATTCCAACATACACTTTGCCAAAGAAGACACGCGCATGGTCGATAACGCACAGGGAAACATGCTCCACATCATTAAAGAAATTCCAAGTAAAGCCACAGCACCCTGCCACTACACAATCACCGAATTATCTGCAGCTGAAAAGATTGGTCACACCAAGTGCTGGTGAGAACTGGGGCCGCTGGAGCTCTCACACCCGGCTGGTGGGGATGTGAGACAGCACACCCGTTTGGGAAAACAGTTTCTTGCAAAAGGTACATGTTCACCTTCTCTATAATACGCTAGTCTACTCTGGGCTATTGATACAGGAAAATAAAGGTGCATGTTCAGACAAAGGTGTTTACGTGACAGTTCGTAGTTTCATTTGTAATAACAGGGGCATGGGTGTGGAGTACCCATAAAGGTGGCGTAATAGCCGTGAAAGTGAACGAGAGGCTGGCGTATCCAAGGGGGCGATGGCTCAAAATCGTTATGCTGAGTGAAAGCTCTCAGATGAAAGAGAGACTAACTGTATGAGCCCACGTATGTGACGCTCGAGGAATTGCAAACTAACCCACAGTGGCAGAAAACAGGGCCATGGTTGCCTGGGCATTGGGTGTGGGCAGAAGGAGGGGAGAGAGGATTTATAAAAGGAAACTTCTGGACCGTGGGATGGATGTTGTCTTCATTGTGGCAATAGTTTCATATGTGTACACATCAAAGCTTATCAAGTTTATTTATTTTTTAATGTTTATTTAAAAAAGTTTTAACGTTTACTTATTTTTGAGAGACAGACGGACAGAGAATGGGTGGGGGAGGGGCAGAGAGAGAGAGAGAGAGAGAGAGAGAGAGAGAGACAGAATCCGAAGCAGGCTCCAGGTTCTGAGCTGTTGGCACAGAACCTGATGCGGGGCTTGAATCCACGAACCGCGAGATCATGACCTGAGCCGAAGTCGGTCGCTCAAATGACTGAGCCACCAGGGCGCCCCCAAGGTGCCTCTGTACCTTTTAAAGAGGAATAGTTTATTCTTTGTCAATTATACCTTGATAAAGCTGTTCACACACACACACACACACACACACACACACACACTGCTAGGGACCCTCCACAGAGCTGCTGATTCAGCAGGTCTGGGGCAGGGCCTGGGAGTCTGCATTCCTCAGAAGCTCCCAGGTGATGTTGATGCTGCTGGTCCAGGGACCGCGCCCCCGCTCTAAGAACCACTGACATAGAGTTTATTTCTGCAGTAGGAGTAAGATGATATGGCTATTCCCTCTTTGGTTTTTTTTTTTTAAGTTGATTTATTTATTTTGAGAGAGAGAGGGGGAGAGAGAGATGAAGGGAGGGGCAGAGACAGAGAGGGAGAGAGAATCCTGAGCAGACTTTGTGCTGTCAGTGCAGAGACCAATGCGGGGCCAGAACTCACGAACCATGAGATCGTGACCTGAGCCGAGATCAAGAGCTGGATGTGTAGCTCAGTGAACCACTCAGGAGCCGCACAGCGATTCCATCCTTACGCTCTGGGGGCTAATCCACTCTTCCTCTGACACCCCGTGTCACTGGCGGGCACCCGCGGTATGGCTTTCTTTCATCCCCCGTGACTGGGGACTATTAGGATCCCAGCCCTTGACCGTGACAGCACAGGATGAGAGTCTCATCCAGCCCTGCGTCTTCCCGTCTGTTTAAATGAAATCTGGCCAAGTGGATCCATGGGAGTCTGCAAGAAGGTTGTTGTTTTGGAGGAGAAGGGCCCCAGTGGGGTCCCTGTGAGCTCTCCCCAGCCTGAATTTTTGTTAACAGTCCGCACACGAGAATGGGTCACAGCGGGGAATCCGTGTCAGGGAGGCTTTTGAAGTAGTTTTCTTCTTTTGTGTGTTTCTGGGGGGTGTTTTTGTGTTTTTTTTTTAGTCCAGTTGATTTGTGGGAACGGGTGGGGGCAGCCTTTGTTCTCTCCCCACTACCTGGCAGGTATCCAGGGAAGATTTTCTCAGTGTGCTAAGAGCAAAAATAAAGTCTGAAAAGTCACCGGTCCTCCATGCCAGCCTGGGCGAGTTATCTGGGGTTGGGTGGTCCCGGGACTGCCTCCGTAAGGGAACTTGGTGGTCGGGAAGTCCCCCCAGGCATGGGAGTTGCTACATACAAGCTCCCAAAGTTGCCAGATAGAGCTAATAGAAATGCAGGATGCCTAGAACTTCTGTATCTCAAAATGGACCCAATGTACAGCAAGGTGACTGTAGGTAAAGACAGTGTTTGTTCTGTACGTCAGATTTCTTAGGAGAGTGGATCTTACGTGTTCTCACCACACACAAAAAACGGTAACTACGTGGAGTGATGGATGCATTAATTAACTTCATTGCGGCCATCATTTCAGAACGTGCTTCTATCAAATCATCACATTGCACACCTAACAAGATGTCATTTTTATCTGTCATTAGAACTCAGTGAAACTTAAAAAAAAAAAAACAACCCACAGGTTGTCCAGTGAAGTCTGAATTTCAGATAAAAGTGGAATAATTTTTTTAGTATAATTCTGCCCCAAATACTGCGTGGGCAGGCCTGGAGGGTTGGGGTCGTATCAGAGAGGGCTGCCTGGAGGAGGTGAGCCCAGAGAGTGCCCAGTGAGGATGGACAGGGGTAGTGAGTCCCGCATCCCTGCTCCGCCAGACGTTGTAGGGAAATATACTAGAACAGTACCCATCGTTCATCAGAGATTCCAGCTGAACTATATGTCCTGCCTTTCACCTGGCAGTTCTACAGCCCAATTCATCCCTGGCCGAGCCTTCTTCCTCCTCCTCCTCGCCAGTCCCGCTGACTCTGATCAGTCATGCTTCGACTTTATCTGTAACCGTCGCTTTCGTTGTCCCCTGAGAATTCATTGGTGACAACGGTTAAGAAATGGGTTCTGGAGTCTGACAAATCCAGGTGCGAACCCCAGCAGCCGTCGGGTGGCCTTATGGAAGGTGACTCCATTTCCGTGGGCCTCAGTTTCCTCACTAGTAAAACCGGGATGCTGATATTCCCCCTGGCTCCCGGGTTAAATGAGATACAGCCTACCAAGTGCTCGGACTCTTAGCTTTTATGATTATGATTTATTGGCATTCTTCACTGTTACCTTGTATGGCAGCACTGGACCAGTTGGGGGGGGGCAAGGCCTCAGTGGCCCGTGAGCCCCCCAATCCATGCTTCTTAGCAGTACACCCCATGTTTTTTTGGTCTCATTGGCCTTATGTCTATTCCCTGGTGTATGTATGTGTGTGTGTGTGTGTGTGTGTGTGTGTGTGTGTATTAAATTTTTTTAATGTTTATTTATTTTTGAGAGACAGAGAGAGAAAAGTGGGGGATGGGCAGAGAGAGAGGGAGAGATAATCCCAAATGGGCTCTATGCTGACAGCAGAGAGCCTGACTTGGGGCTTGAATTCATGAACTGTGAGATCATGGCCTGAGCTGAAGTCAGATGCTTAACCGACTGAGCCACCCAGGCGTCCCCTTGGTCTACATTTTTAATACGACATTATTTTTAGGGGCACCTGCCTGGCTCAGTCTGTCTTCTATGAATATTTTGTACAGTTCGTAACAAACTGGAGGTCATTAACACTTTCACGAACAATGCTTTT